GGATTTTATCTAAGAAGGTGATGTAAACATCATGCTTCCTGGTTCCCTCACATACAAGTTCTCCTGTTTGTGAGTTAACTATGTGACATAGGTTGGCTTGAAACTCAACTCTATTACCTTTGTCACATAATTGAGAAATACTCAAGAGATTATGTTGCAAGCCTTCAACATAATAAACATCATCTATTGCGTTAGAAAGTGTCTTACCAACCTTACCTAAACCAGTGATGGTTCCCTTGCTGTTATCCCCAAAGGTGACACTTCCTCCATCAAAGGCCACTAGTGAAAGGAATTGATCTTTATCCCCGGACATGTGTCTTGAGCAACCACTGTCCAAATACCAATAGGTGTCTCCCTTCACTCTAGCCTGCAAGAGCAAATCAAACATTAGATTTAGGAACCCAAACATACTTGGGTCCCTTTTCAACAATATTAACAACTTGTTGATCCTTTCTTCTCCAAACACACTTTGCACCCTTGCTGTTCTTATTAGCACTAATTTTCTTAGCTGGACATTCATGTATCTTATGTCCATTTTTACCACAATGAAAACACACATGCATCTCTTTAGTCATGACATACTTGCCTCGTTGATATTCTTTGATCCAGGTGGTTTCTCTGGGAGACCAGTTAGTCCTGGTTCTCTGTCTAGTATAACCGAGACCAACTTTTCCTCTGTTTCCTCTTGATGAAGTCAGGTAATTTAAGGATTTTTGAGCATTCAATAATTTGTCCACATGTCTATGACTATCATTAAGTTCTTTTTCTCTGGTTTCAAGTGTCTTAGTCAACAATTCGTTTTTCTCTTTAAGAAAATCAAAGTTACTTTTTAAAGCTTCGAATTGTAGATTAAGCTTTGAAACCATACGGTCAATAGACATGTCAACAACCACTGGTTGCTTGTCCTTTTTCAGTTGATTGATTTCCGCATGCAAATCACAAATATTACTTTCATACTTATCAATCATATTACTGACATCTACACTGGTACCTGTAGGGGAAACAGTGAACTGTGCAGCTTTAAGTGAAGCAATTTCCTTGTGAGAATTTTCCAGGTTGTAAGCCAATGTTTCAAAGGCCTTCAACAAGGAAGTTCTAGTACATGAATTTGCTTTACTTATAGCTACTGAAAAATCAAGAGTATCACTAGTGGTTGATAAGTCTCTAGGGAACCAGGAGGTCAGATCCTCTTCACCATCAATTGGTTCAAACGATCTTTCCTTTTCTAGTTCCACTTTACACTTGTCCAATTCAACCTCTAGTTCTGCTACTTGATTTTTTAGTTCATAACAGACTCCTTCTAGATGATCACAGCTAGCAATAGCAATATTACATTCACCACTTTTTTCTTTTAATTCTCTTTTGCAAATTATGTATGTTTCACTTAATTTATAGCATTCATCTAGTAAGGAATCAATACAAGCAAGCATATTTTCTCTATCATATTCATGCATATCTTCTCTAATTTGCTCTAAGCTTACCTTGCGTTCATGTAGTACATCCTTCTTTGCCATAAAGCATTTGTTGAATGTACTGGTTCCCCCTCTGGTTCCTGGACCAGTGTTGTTTTCCTTGATGTTTGTAAAGGCAGTTAGGCAAACATCTGAGTTGGGTGATCCTTCTTCTTCATCTGACCCTGAGTCAGAGTCTCCCCACATGGAAGCTATCATGGCATTCTTGTATGCTTGTTTATCTCCGGATTTAGACTGTTTGTCATTCCACTTAGGACAATCTCGAATAAGATGTCCTTTTTCTCCACACTTGAAACATCCTGTAGAAGAAGAATTAGAGTTAGATTTTTTATAGTTTTTAAAATGCTTACCTTTGAAATTCTTTCTTTGATCTCGAAGAGATCTCTCAAATCTTTTTGCAATCATGCTAATTTCATCTTCATCTTCTTCTACTGTTCCCTTAAGCGCCATGCCTCTTGCTGGTTCCTTCTCAGACTTAGAGTCAATCAGCATCTCATGAGTCATAAGGGAACCAATCAGCTGTTCCAGAGACAAGGTAGACAAATCCTTTGCTTCGTATACTGCTGTTACCTTGGCTGTCCATGCATCTGTTAAACTACGCAATAATTTTCTCACAAGATCCTCGTCAGATAAATTTTTACCAAGAGATCTAAGATCATTTACAATAGTCATAAACCTACGAAAGCAATCATTGATTTTTTCATTTTTATTCATGGCAAACAATTCATATTTAGACATGATTAAATCAATTTTAGACCGTTTTACCTCACTGGTTCCCTCAAACGCAAGTTCAAGGGTGTCCCATATCTCCTTAGCACTACTGCAGCCAGATATACGATTTGTTTCGGTCTCACCTATTGCTTGTTGTAGTATTGACATTGCCTTAGCATTCTTCTCCAGCAACTTGTGATCAGCAGTGACCAATTCGCTATCTTTCTTGGGAACCTGGTTCCCCTCAACATCTGTCTTGAGAATGATATTAGGACCATTTTTAACTACGAGCCAGCATTCATAATCAATACCCATGATAACATTCTGGATCCTGTTCTTCCACCAAGCATAATTATTTCCATTAAACTTGGGTGACTTGTTGTCATAACCGATTGCACTTAATTCTTAAGTACTCATTCTTAACTCCTCTAGATGTTACTCTTTCGAGAAGCTTAGGCTCTGATACCAATTGAAGGTTCAATGGGCACTCAAGAGGGGGGGGGGTGAATTGAGTGTTAAGTAATCGTTAGCGATTTTTGCTTCTTTTCGGATTATGTGTAAGGAACCAGTTGTGCTGGTTCCCTTATGCAGCGGAATAAAACAAAGCAATAAAGAACACAACAAATTTAACGAGGTTCAGCCAACTCAGGCCTACGTCCTCCTATCCTAAGTCCTTTATTAATCTACTCCGAAAAACAAAGACAAAGAACACTCTACTGTTTCCCTACTCCGGGAACCAGTCTACCCCACACTCTACTCCGAGTGTGCTCTCGACTTACACTCGTAAGCCCAATGTGTTTGAACTCACAAACAATCACCCAGCCTTTAACCCCTTTGTTAAAGACTCAATACAAGAATCAAGAACTCTCCTTTGATCTCACTTCTACGAAGCTAATTAAGAGAAAATGTTTTTGTACTAGAATGCTCTTGTATATGACTTGATGAATGGGATTAGTGCTTAAGTATATGCTCTCAAATAATTGCTCTTTTTAATTTCTAGAGAGGCACACGAAATATGTGAAATAAGATGAGTTTATATAAGCTTAGATTCCTAAAACCTAGTTTCCTTAAATCACACAATCTTAGAGAATAAGATATATTGTAATTTTAGGAAAGTATTTATCTTATTTGATTTAATCACAAAGATAGAATCAATTAAGATAAATACTCCTAGTTTTTAGGTAACCAAGAATATTTCATCTTATTTCCAGCTGCACAAAATATTTTCAAAATAATCTTTTCGAAAAAATCTTTTTTGTAAAATCTTTTTCCAAAACGGCAGCTCGAATATTTCGTACAGTGAACCTGGTTCCCCGACCTGGTTCCCTGAATTGAAACATGTTATGAAACCTGTTCCAACTTTGTACCAGATTTCATATCATACTTCAATATACTTTTAAGCACTTATATAACCCAAACATGCAAGCATACTACGGAGCATATTACATGAAAACCTAGATAACATATTAAAGCATAAATCGTCTTTTCTTCATGTAATCTTCAAGACTTGAATCTTCCTTGAATACTTCTATTATGAGCAAACAATCTTTCTTCGAAATATCTTCGAAAGGCTTCTATGCTCCAAGTCTTGGAATCAACTCAACTACTGCACATGTAACATGGTTAATGCACAATAAAGAGTATGTGACTGCTTTTCCGCATAGCAGTCAAGGAAACGGTTCATACTGGTTCCCCACCAGTACATAGCACATTTATCATCTAACTGTTTCCTGTATATAGATAAGTTAGTTCAATAGATAACTCATATAATCAATAACTTATCTAGGAAAACAGTGTTCTATTTTAGTTGGTTCCCCCAACTGTATTGAACACTTTCAAAGACCTGTTTCCCTTAGCTGTTTGTCATCATTCAAAACTATCAATCAAAACCTAAGGGACTCAACAGTGATCATGCACGCAAATATTTTACTATATCATGACAACTTAAAACACTTTCTCACTTAGGTTGAATTGAAACCATGATGACCTAACAACATGTATTGAAGTGTGGAGGAGCATACGATCACATGACTTGGTGTGTGCACCACACACTTCAACTTGTGCCACACGCCGGTGCTAACACAAATTATGCGATGGCAAGTACACCTCACACGCTTTGCGCATGTGGTGTATGAACAATGAAACATATACGCTAGTTACAATTATATATGAGAAATACGCTAGTTATAGTAACTAACATATAGAGTTTTTGTGTTTTTTGTTTTTTTTTTTTGACATCGAACAACGACCTATATGTTAGTTATATAACTAACATATAGGTCGTTGTTCGATGTAAAAAAAACAAAAAAAACAAAAACAAAAACATTTAGGTTGTTACGATTTTGCCTAATGTTCATATGTATAAACATTTTTGAATTTTTTGTAATTGTATGGCGAACTCAACTTAGCTTGTTAAATAGCCTTAATTAAAACATAACAATTATCACCGGCCCTTATAATATAAAGTTATCTAAATTTATATCTCGAATTTATTGAACATAAAAGAGAACATATAATCTCATCCAATATGTTTAGTTTTTTTCCGATATCAATATATCGTGATTAGAAGCTTGTTTAATTTATAATTTATATACAATTATTAATTTTATATATACCTCTCATATATCATCATGAACCCCTTTCCCACCCCCAAAATAAGTATCCATGTCACCAAAAATGGAAAAAGAAAAATGTGTTCATAAAGTTTATTATTAGTGGCATGTCTAATAACCCCATTATAACATAAAACAAAAAACTTTACACATTGTGTTTCATGATCAATAATGGCCTAATGGGTACAATACGTGCGCACAACAAATATATAATGGAAACTTTGGCTACCAAAGCTTAAGAGTCTTAATTGTCTTCATGAAATTTCAGAAAAGATTAAGGAAGATTAATGATGATATTGCTAGTTATTAATTGGAGGTTTTTGGTAATTTCTACCACATTATTATAGTTATATTATTCTTCTTTACTGCTCTTTCTACATGGAAGGAAGACAGAAATCTAGAGCCCTCAACAAACCATGTATCATGCTTATAGGTATGTTAGTTACTCTATCTATTATTCATCATTATTTTCATCTCAAAGACACAATTTTTAAAATTTAAAATAACATTTTACTTGGACAATGCATGCAAAATTATTAATCTTTGTGTTTTACAATGTTTAACTTTACGAGTAATATATAATTTGTGAAATATTTGGGTTAGTCTTCAATTTATTCATACGTTCTCAAATCATGTCTAGATAATATCATATGAACTGGCTTGTTGATGTAGTTGTATTAATTACTCGGCTAAAAAGCAAAAAGAAATTAGAAACTCGAGGTCTTATTTGATTCGTACAACGTGCATGTGCATGTACATGTACGTGTTTACAGTGATTGCGGGCATGGAGAGATTTGCATTCAAAGGGGTGGCATCAAATTTGGTGACATATCTTACGGATATTATACATATGAGCAATTCAGCAGCAGCTAAAACTGTAAATAGTTGGTGTGGGCTTACATCTATTATGCCACTCTTGGTGGCTCCTCTTGCTGATTCTTTATGGGATCACTACTCAACAATATTGGTTTCATCGTTATTCTATATTCTGGTAAGTTCTCATCTACACCTACATGTATAACTATACAATCCTTGTGAGTTGTGACGAAAAAATGTAGCGTAGCCAAGCTATAGGATGGTAGCATATATAGCCATAATTCCTTGGCCCTTGGTCTTGGGACATTTGGCTTACTTTCGCATCCATATGGCAATAGGAGGGTAGATGGGAGGTTAGAGGTGTTTAAGTGACTAAGTCGTCATGAATTAAAAGTGAAGTGAAATATATAAGTTTAGCTACTAATAAGCTTTGAGGATTTATGAAATGCCACTCATATTTTGCCTTATTCGTTGAATTACGTACTTTGGCTATTTTGTGGTTGTGATAATTGCTAATTAAGCAAACACCCATGTAAATTGATTGGTTTTTGTCTTTGTGAATTGAATGCAATACAAATATAGAGTTTTTCCATGTGTATTGGAGAAGATTTTGAGTGAAATCCTATCAACCTACCATATTTTTAGAAGTTAAACATTTTTCAATGATGATAAGAAATCTCCTCTATAATTCTACAAAGGTGTTACCTAAAAGTATAAAATTAAAATAAATAATGTATTGGTTCACAATTTCACATCATAGCAATATAGCATACAGATGTTAGGTGTTGGTGCCTTGGTGGTGTCCACGGCAAAATGCACTTTTGTTGCCCTGACGAATTGCAAATGTGTTTTTTTTGGGTACAGATAGTGCTATTGGCATAATGTAGATGGAATTTGATACAGATTTTGACTACTATCCTAGAAATTAACCAACTAAATTAGTTGACATCTCCGATAATAATCTTTTTATCATTTATTTGAACAAATATTGTATATGTGTTGTAAAAGTATAAGGAATCGGATTGTTTTTAGCTTTTACCATGTACTCCGTAACATACGGTCAAAAGTTTGGAAGATGATTTTATTACTTCTTGTAAGTAGAGCACAGAAAACTGTGACTCATAATGAGCTGAGAGTGCCATAATCAATGTTTGGAGTGTCAAAATAATTCCCTATTTAGTTCTTATTTGATTTCATTTTTTCAATTCGCTATTATAAAACGTCTTTTAACTATCAAACCTTGAGTTATTCTAAATAAATACTCCTTAAAATTGTCTTTAATTATCAAAAATTCTACAATTAACATCTCTTGCTTCATTTCCAACCCCCTCCCCCCCCCCCCCCCCCCCCCCCCTCTTTTTTTCCTCCTTTTTGCTTTGGTAAGCCTCTACTTATTCCTACTCCTTTGCCCCTACTAAAAGGGCCTTGCAGCATTAACATCAACTACATTCGAATGGGCATGGCCAGTGAACAAGAATATCTCCAACGCATTCATGTTTTGGTCACTCTGTTTAATATCACTCGGCCAAGGAGGCTACAACCCTTCCTTGCAAGCCTTTGGAGCAGATCAACTCGGAGAAGAAGAAGACTTGCCCACTGACCAAACAGACCTTAAAAAATCCAGTAAAAGGACCCTCTTCTTCACTTGGTGGTACTTCGGTGTTTGCAGTGGCAGCCTCTTGGGAGTTTCTGTAATGTCATACATCCAAGACACTTTAGGCTGGTCTCTAGGCTTTGCAGTTCCTACCTTGGCCATGATCGCGTCTATCATCTTGTTTTCCAGCGGCACCAGAAGCTATACATTTAATTTCGCAAATGATCACAAGGTTGATAATCATAATCCACTCAAGACTACGGTTGATGGTCTAAAAGCTGCTATATCAAGGGTGTTCAACTGTGGCATCGGTGAATCCCATCGCAAAGCGGATGTTCCAGAGTTAGAGTAAGTTTCTTCTATTTCAAGTTTTCAACCGAATGCATTAAATTGAAAAATCAAAGAGATTTCTACTTTGTATTCAATAGGTACTCGCACTTGATAAATCAAAGCATCTTTCATTTTTCCTTTCAACAAAACAGAATTTCTAACAGTAATGGTCTTTGTTTTTCCTCTTTCTTAAAGGCTGCAGGAAAATCAAATCTCAAGCCAGAAGTTAGTAGGAACCAAGGAAGTTGATGAGAAACCCAGTAAAAGAATTCGCCTTTCTGACAATATTAAGGTATCACTAAGGCTCTTACCTATTTGGACCATGCTGCTGCTGTTTGCTGTGATCTTCCAACAACCAGCCACATTCTTCACCAAACAGGGCATGACGATGAAACGAAATATAGGCACTAAGTTCAAAATACCACCAGCGACTCTTCAAGGAGCCATTACTGTCTCAATTATCCTCCTGATGCCCTTGTATGACAAGATTCTTGTTCCATGTACACAAGTTATCACCAGAAATGAGAAGGGAATAACTGTCCTGCAGAGAATGGGAGCAGGAATGGTCCTTTCTATCATTGCCATGGTGATTGCCGCCTTGGTAGAAGAGAAGAGACTCAGAACTCCATCATTGACTATATTTTGGTTGCTACCACAATACATATTACTAGGCATATCAGACATCTTCACAGTTGTGGGCATGCAAGAGTTCTTTTATGGTGAAGTTCCTGTTAAAATGAGGACAATGGGAATAGCCCTGTATACTAGTGTGTTCGGAGTAGGCAGTTTCCTTAGTGCTATGATGATATCTTTGATTGAGATCTTCAGTACAAGGGGAGGAAAGCAGAGTTGGTTCTCAGATGATATGTCGAAAGCAAGGCTGGATAAGTACTATTGGCTACTAGCTATATTAAGTACATTCAGTTTGCTGGTGTATATAATTTTGTGTAGATTTCACAAGAGTAGGAGTGATTTGGGTGACGAAAATGATGTATAAAGTTTCAGTTTATCAATACACTAGAGTAGTAGTGACTTGATTGATGAAACCAGTTTATAAAGTTCTGGTTTATCAACTTTATTCACTCTAAGCTGATCTTGTTACCAAATATAATCCTCCACATCAGATGGACAGGTGATTGGAATAAACAGGAAACTAATAACAGAAACAGTGGCATTGTGAGAAACTGTGAGCACATGAAAGTGCAAGACAAAAATTCTTAAGCAATGCTTGCTGCAAGACAAGGCAATCGGGCTAACAGAATAGCAGACACAGATGAAATCAGAGGATAGATGTAACAGGTGTATCATAATATTGACACTGCTCAAAATGAGAGTGTCGTGACACGATCTATCATAGCACGAAAATAGCAAGATGATTAACGGTGATTCAATTCACTTTAAAAGATTGGCAAGTCAACCAAAGCTCAGGCTTATCAAAGAGAGTCAAGCTGCCCAAAGCAACAATTACAGCAGGGGGAAAACTGGCAAATGTGCTCTTATGCATAAGGGAATAACATAAAACATTGTGATCTTTCCACATATTCCATATCATTTAACCTTAACAAAACAAAACATATAAAATTGTTTTGCTGATGATGAACCAAATATGAAAAGACAAAATAATTGTTGAATTGAAAAGCTATACACACTAAACAAGAATTATGCCACAATAGAAAGTATAATTCCATAGGACTATAATATTTAAGCTTTCTTTGTTCTTAATATACAAACAAAACATTTTATGGCTGAAAATGCTCCAAAAGCACTAACAAAGAATGAATGTGAATACTTCATAACACTCATAACTATGATCACCTGATACAAAGATGACAACCACAGTTATCTTCCCCGAATTCGAAGGCATAATTCCCTTTCCTACTCCTTGTAACTCCCTTCGCAATCTACATGTAATCTTCTATCTTTCGCATCAAAGGAAGAAATTCTTTTCGTTTACTCATACAAGCACCAAGTTACCTAACTCACTGAATGAGAGCCATGACCATTAACACCCAACTCCACAGCACCATTCTCCCTTCTCAACCCTGCACTACCATCTTCTTGTTTAACCACATCATTGCCACCATCATCGGAATCCGAATCCAAAGTAAACGTCCCTTGATTCTCCACCCTTAGCACCTCAACACCGAGAGGCCGATAACTCGAGTAATTACCCTCAGCAGCAAACCTTCTTCCAAAACACGAATACACTCCACAAATCACAGTAACAAGAAAAGCAAGATGACAATTGAACAAAAGCACAGCAATCGCCCCACCACGATGAGTATCCATATGACCATTACAATTAATCGTATAATTCCCTCTACTCTTATAATGCAAAGCACAATTATTCGCAATCAAATCCGAAAAAAACGAAAACCCTATTTGCACAAACCAAGTCCCCTTCAAAATTAACCCTAACCCACGACCCAATTTAGGGATTCCAGAATTTGGGGAAACCAATTCAATCATAGTAGAAAACACACAAATTGCAATCGGAACAAGCATTAAATCATAATAACGATTCTCAATTCCATCAGAATCCTTCAAATGGAGATGAAAAAGTAGAAATTCTTCGAGAAAAGCGAATAGAAGAATCAAATTGAGTAAAGGAAAAGGGAAATTGAGCGATTTAGAGAAGAAATTGAGAAGACCCAGAAGAGAAAACATGAAGAAAAGGGAAGAAATCGCGAGTACCTGAAGTTGGAGAGTAGAACCGATTTTGTCAGAGGAAGAAATAGCGTCGAAGAAGGAGAGAAGAGAGTTGATGATGAAGAGGAGAGAGAGAGATGCGGCGGAGATAAGGGTGATTGTGGAGAATCGACGGTGGTTGTTGGGTGGTTGTTGCGGTGGTTGGGAGGAAGAGGAGAGGGATTCCCAAGCTCCCAGAAGGATGAAACTGCCGCCGGCGAATGCCATTGAAAATAGCCCCATTGTAGTTTGATGGTTTTCTGGGAATTGGAGCTTGATATTCTGCAATGGTCAATCAAGAAATGGAGAAAGTTGAGAGATTGGAAGGAGGTTGGTCAAAGGAGAGAGAGTGGTGGAATGCAGAGTGGTCGTTAAGTTGGAAAGTCACCGGTTGCTACAACCTTTGCTGTAGAAGAATTTTCACTTCCTTCTTGTGTCCGGTTTTGACAAAATTGACTTGTACGAGTACTCCTATCAATTTTTTTCTTTTTTGATTGGTAAAGGGAAGGTACCTTCCGGATTGGAACTTTCACAAGTATAATCGATCCAGGTTAGCAGACTAGACTCTTTAGGAGTGGAGGAAAGGGGTAACGGTAAGAGAAAACCACTTTAAAGAGTCTCTAATAGGATTTGATCGCACAAACTCATGGTTGTAAGATACAATACGAGTATCAAATTACTTGATTAATATTACTGTAGATACGAAATTTGGAATTTTAACCTTTTATCTGGTGTGGACCCTGGTAAAAAATTTAGCTTATTAAGTACTCTATAATTGGCATTAGAGTTAAGTAGTATTCTTTGTCCAAATATGAATACATATACGTAAAATGTATCGATTTAAATGTCTTAAGTGCACATTTCTTTTTAAAATTGAGATGAATAAAATGGTCAGGCTAGCTATTGTGTATGATGTGACTTCATTCGTGATTTTATTGCGTAACTTATGAAATATGAAGTATAAGGTTATGAGAATTGTTTTTTCTTGTTCGGGAAAACTTAACTTTTAAGGATAATAGTCTCTCTTTTATTCACTAATTGAAGTGTTCAAACATCAAATAATAACTTTGCTATCCTTTAAATTGCAATTACATCACTCAAGATCACACTTCAACACAATGCATGCCTCCAATACCCATTTCAATCAAATAGGCAACTAATAGCATGCTATTTTCAATTAAAATCACATTTTGATAAAATTTTGTTACCGTTATGACGTTATCTTTTAATTCATATTAGTTACCAATTAGTATGTCAATCACGAATTAAATTTTTTTGCTTTAAACCCTCAATCAGGCACCACATAATACTCTCTTATCATCAAAATTATCAATATAGATATGCAATTACATCACGAAAGAGCACACTTCAACGCAATGTACAAACTTTTACGGAGTACCAAATTCACTCAATTAGGCAACTCATATCATCAACTTCTTTAATCTCACCTTAATCATATTCCTTTTCTATATAAAAGCAATCCAACTCTTTAAAACAAAGACAAAAGTAATCCAATCTCCTTCTTCCTTTATCATCAATGGAACCCATGAAAATGACAAAAGTTCCAATCTTCAAAGCAACCTCACTCTTCTCATATTTGATGTTGATGGTGTTGCACTTCCAGTTTAGTGTTGAAGGCCGCTTATTATTTTCTCTCTCCAAACCAAACCCCAATGATGCTGCTGCTTACGCTCGTTGGTTGGTTTCCCAGAGCTCTTGGGGTGTTCTCAAGTATATTTCTCTCTTCCTTTCTATTAATTTCCAATTTTTATAGTTAACTGTTTACTGGGATGTTTATATTTCTGATAGCAATTGATTAATTGAAAACCCCTTAAATTTTTGTATCTTTGATTATTTGGGTTTTAATTCAATCTGTTTTTTTTGTATCTTAAATGGGTTTATTAGATTGCGGACATTGATTTTGTCATATGAAAGAATTGAGTTAAATTACTTAGATTGGTGTTGACCAATTTTGGGGAAGTTGGTTTTTTGGTGGTGTGTAGAGGGAGTCACTGTAATATAGTTGGGATTCAATTACATGTCTTCGAAAATGTTGCCAACTAAGCTAGTAGACATCCAATGGAAGACGAACTTTGAATATTAGCTTTCATCTTACTAAAGTAGTAGTTATACCCTTTTACAGTTTTACTACATTCAATCATCACAAGATTGAAGTGAAACATCTAACTTGTTTTTGCTGGCCTTGAAAAATCAAATGTAATTATTTCAATGTTCGAATTCAAAACGGAAAAGAATTATCTTTTGGTAATATATTGTGTTTAAGTGTTCAATTTAAGGTGAAAGTAATCTGTTGAGGTTTAAGCTAATATTTACATCATTTGTTTTGCAGTACCATTTCTCCAGATTTAGGAGGAGCACCTTTTGGGTATTCACTCTTTCCCCAGCTTTGTTTTTCTTTCCTCTCGCTCTTCATGGTTTTTAAATTTATGTCGGGTTTTAGTGCTGAAGTCGGGTTCTGTGTATCGGTGTCACATTTACTCATAACAGATATGGCATTGTTAGTTATTTGTTTGTTTGATTTTGATAGTCTTTCAATGTCATGGCATCCATTTGGTTCGTGTTCTTGTTACAATTGTTTGAGTTATCAAATTTTATTAGATGATCCGGTTTGATCGAGCCTTCAGTGCTTCCGATGTGATGGCATCAATGTGCTGATAACGATTTTTATTTTCTGTCAATCAATTTCAATATATGTTCCACAACAATATATGTTCTACAATCCACAAGACCACACATCAAGTTTTTGAGGTTTTACCTATGCATGATCAATTTAATTACTGGGAGTCTTATACTTGCCACATCAGTGCTGTATGTTGTTGAGGCACGGTTGGCAATAATGTCTTCATTGATTTAGCACACATTAACAAATTTCTGTTTTCACATAATATTTACCCCAATTAATCTTCGAGTAGTTAAACTGCTGAGAGGGTCTTTGTCCTTACAACTTACAAGTACATCCTAAAGGAGATGATAGATATCGTTTTATTACAATTTGTGAACCCCACAAACTCTTTCTGAATTGGTTTTAGGAATAGTATCAAGTGATTGACATTATGATGTATCTGGAATCTGCTTGTAGGAATGTGGTTTCGTTTAGTGATGGGCAGCCAGGCAAAGGTGCAGGTGTACCGTATTTCTACTTGACAACCCTTGATCCAACTGCAGCAAACGCCCTGAAGGACCAAAGATCCTCATTGGCAATCAGTGAGTACCCAATTGGGACTTGTGGAAAAACGGATCCTGAAAATCCCACTTGTGCAAAAATTACACTTACAGGAAAGGTGTGCTTCTCTTCAGTAATTTGTGGTTTTAGTGTTTGGTGAAATCATCTGTAAGATTGTAATGTTGTAGATATTCAGCTTCAAATCTGGCTTCGAAACTTGGCAGCAGTTCAATCTGAAAGGCCAGACTATGTTTACAATTAGTAAATTACATGTGGACGTGTATGACTTATTAGGATATTAGTCTAATATGTACGAAGTAATTATTAGCAGTATTGATCAGAAGTACATGTGCATACTTATATGATTCATTGCCTTCGTGATCTTTTTCAGTTGAAACTGGTTGATGCAAACTCCAAAGAAGCAGAATTTGCAAGGTCTGCCTTGTTCGCAAAGCATGCTGAGATGAAAGGTAAATAAAGACATTCTTTCTGTTATCTACTCCATATTTGAGGTAAATGAAATTCTTTTTTATCCATCGGCTGGGTAAAATTTTTGATGCTAACACAATGGTTTATGTTTGCATAGGTTGGCCGGAGAGTCACAACTTCCAAGTCTACAAGCTAGATATTAAAAATATATTTATGATTAACTGGTTTGGAGGTCCAAAACCTCTTACTGTTGATCAATATTTACAATGGAAAATGTAAGTGAATTTGCTCAATCATGATTCTGAATAAATATACAAGTACTCCGTGTATATGAAGCTCTAATTAGCTGAACTGCATAAATCTCATTTAATTGTTTTGTATGTGCAGGCACAAATTGGCAAACTCTTTGTAAATTCATGCATTGCGATTCTGTTACTGATTCAGGCATGTTGTTTCAATTGTAAATGTCAAGGGTATATAAAACATTGTTTCTGATCAAAATTACAATGCAAAATGTATATCACTGTATAGTGTCTGCTGTAATTTGTAACCTGCTAATATGTATGTACATTATGAAAGTGGTATACACTATCAAATTCATGTAAGTACTAAATTGGGTATACAGCAATGTAATGGCAATTGGTATATATTTTAGGAAAAAGATATTTGCAGCCCTTAGGGCTGCATATAAGAAGCTAAAAGTGGAAAGAAAAGACAATAAATAAGCATTTATTACACCGATTTACTCGTGAATTGTCGTCAGGGCTGCATATAGCATTATCCTATATTTTAATAACTTCTTCTATTCCTAAATAAGTGACGTTTAAGGTTTTGCACCTTTCTTTTTTTTTTTTTTTTTTTTTTTGACAGCAAGGACAACATAAAACAGCAGATCAAACTGCAACAAAATTCTACGCTACTAGCAATCTCTAATAATGCTAACGTTTTCCATTGGACTTGATTGCATGTTTTTAGCAACATCTAAAAGTCTAGAAACTGCAATCTGAGAATATCTTGACATCCTGCTTTCCTCTGCTTTCTGCTTTCAGTAGTCTCTTAAGAACATCAAATAATTATTCTGTCTGAAGCTGTGTTGCAGCAATTAGACATTGAGTTTCTTTGTCTATCTCAAACATATTCCCATTCTCAAGTAGAACCCGTCCAATCACCAGTTTCTTTTATTTCTTTTCCATGATCCATCAGCAAGTATCTTAGTCGAGAAGACCCTGTTAGTATAACACTCAGGCTTTTCCTGGTTACAGTCTTCTACAGAGTTCGTCAGTGCTGAAGATGGTACATTTTGATTTCTCAAGCTATCAATTGAGCTCTTAGTACATGGGATTCTCAGAAGTACCCTTAAATCTACAAAAATACTCCATATCTCTTAAATTTTTCGACGAATCTACAGAGCCTGGGAGACTGTTTCAAACTTTCAGATTCTAATGCTCTTTGAGCTATTAGGCCTGTCTTTCTTATGAAATAAACTCATATAATTTCTTATCCGACCTGAAATAAAGACTGTAATGCTGTATTTCAAATTAACATTCAGATATGAGGATCTCCAATGTCTTGACATTGTCCAGTCCCTAAAAGATGTTTCTCATCTTCTGTAAACTGACTGCAGAAATGGCATGATACCAGGATATTCTGCTTCCTAAGATTAACTTTGACTGGCAGAACCCTTTGCATAATCTTCCAGACAAAACGTTTCCTTTTCAGGAGCAAACCTAGAGTCCATAGGTGTTTCCCGAAACTGTTGAGCCATCCTTACATGAATATTGATGTCGGTTCCCCGTTTGGAAAGAGTGAACAGATTTAGCAGTCATCACTCCAGATTGATTTTGACTCAATTCAAAATCATCTGAATCCGCAGTTGGTGTAATATGAGCATCCAGTATAATCCTTACCAAGTCGTGACCTAACCACAACTTATCTTCTAAAACTATGCCCTTACTAGTGTCCGAACTAATATGGGAAGAAGTTCTTGTATTGCATTTGAATTTGACTAGAATATTTTAATCTCAAGAGATGTCAAATAGCAAGTCTTGCAAGTTGCAACCAAATCACATTAACAGCTAGATATATGTACTTAAAGACCATAAGATTTAATGTTACTTAAAAAGGAAACTAGTACCCATCAAAACGTTGTTTTTATAGGAAGCAATAGTACTGTATCCTGTGAGAGTATCCTCTATCTTGCATTGTTATCAGAAAAATAAAATGGAGTCGAAAAAGAGAATAACAAGAACATCTCCAATTTTCAGAGTAACTATTCTGCTAACATATTTGATTTTGGTGTTGCATTTGAGTATAGTGTTGAGGGGCGTTTGCTGAAGCTGTCTGTCAACAAACCCGACCACAATGACATTGCTGACTATGCTCGTTGGTTGGTATCCCAAAACTCCTGGGGTGTCCTCAAGTAATTTTCTCATTTTCATTCTTTCAATAGATTCACCTAATATGATGTTGCTATTCGTTAATGTTTTATACGTTGTATATGTTTTCTGATTGCAATTTGACTCATTTAGATATCAGTTTCTACTTTCTAGTCCTCTGTTCATCATTTTGGATCTTATTCAATCTGTTTTCTCATATTTTATGTGCGATTTAATAGTTATGTCATTTTGTGTTCACTACTAGTCAATCTATTACAATAGTAGGCACACTAGGTGCGGTGGGATCTCTAAGCTGTGTTTTGTGTTTTATATGCTTGTGTGTTAGATTTTCCCCGTGTTAATAGATGGTCCATCTCTAATTATATGAGTTTTATTTGATGGACAATAGCTAAACTATAAAGTTCACAATCTTCTAATTAATCTAGTTATTAGCCAATATGATGATGCACACATATTTTTCATAATTTTAAAAATTGGTACTGTTTGTGTAAGTAATAGAACAAACGAATGAGGTAAATCCAAAATTTCTGAACATCACTAGAGAGAATGAGTTTGGAGTTAGATAAAAATTATATATTCAGCGTTTGACTTTTAAAAAAATCATGATCAACCGTTGACTTTGATCCTTTAGATTTAGGTGCTCTTGTTTGGCATGCAAAATAAGTCTGCTCATTTGACAGTATCAAAAGTACTTGTTTACTACCTTGCGTTGTTTTTAAGTTGAAGTATGTCAAGTATCTGATCTATTGTAAATGAAGCTAATGTGTTGCTTTCATGTTTTTGCAGTACCATTTCCGCCGATTTAGGAGGATCTCCTTTTGGGTGATCTCTCGCCCCACCATTTCCCCTCTTTAAGGTGTCCATTATACACCCGGATGTAACATGTATACCCTACACCCATACTCAATTTTTGCTCAAAAAAACATATAGAGCTCTCCCAATTGAGTAATGGGCAAAGAATGATCCCTTGAGTGAAATACACCCGGATGTACAATTTATATAATGGACATTATTTCCTTAGCCTAACGATGCCTAGTGCTTCCATTGTGTTTATCTTGAATTCACGATGTTGCAATTGATGTTTTTTCTCTGTCGGTGGAAGATATATCATTCTTTTACAAATTGGCAAGGCACAAAAACTCTATGATGCTTGATTTTGTATACTTGTATTATCATTCTTGTTAATTATAACAATGATGTACCTACATGTAGCAACGTGGTTTCGATTAGTGATGGACTACCTGGCGAAAGTACAGGCATACCATACTTCTACTTAGCAAAATATGATCCCTCCTCTGTGAATGCTCTGAAGGACCAACCTCTTCATTAACAGTAAGCGAATACCCAATTGGGACTTGTGGAAATACTGATCCTGAAAATCCCACCTGTGCAAGAATAACTCTTACAGGAAAAGTACGCTTATCTTATCTGTAAGTGTATATTGTAATGTTTGTATGTAGATGATGTTCTGCTACTTAGAACAATTTTTCATGCTCGACCTTTGGTTTTACAGTTGAAACTAGTTGATGCAGACTCTAAAGAAGCTGAATACGCGAGGTCTGTCTTATTTACTAAGCATCCTGAGATGATATGTGAGTACATTTCTTCTACCACACACCCTTATAATCGTAATCCTATAGTCTGACTGATATTTTCTTGTAAAGGCTAACAAAGTAAGTGATTTATGTTTTGATCAGATTGGCCAGAGAGCCACAATTTCCAGGTCTTCAGACTAGATATCGAAAATATATTTATGCTTAACTGGTTTGAAGGTCTAAAACCTCTTACAGTTGATCAGTACTTGAACTGGAAAATGTGAGTAAAACTTCTGAAACATAATTCAGTTGTATTTTTCTACTTCATGTCTATTAACTCATACGCCATTCGTTATATATGCAGGCACAAATTGGCGTTCTCCTTGTAGATTAATGCTTGCATTGGCATTGGGTTACAGTCTTGATTCTCACATGTATTCTTTCTTATCTCAGCTGTGCAAAATGTATCACAGTGCATCCTCTGTTGTAAGGTTCTTAATTTTATGTTCTTGTAAGAGTTGAATTGGTTGTACACTGTCAAAGTGGTTATTTATGATTAATTTGTTTTCTTAACAATCCAATCCCCTTCTTTTCATGTCTTAGTACAAGCTTTCCTTACTCCTAAATTACGTGCACCCTTCTTTAAAGTCGCATAATTTAACAAAATTGTGTCTAAGTGTCCCCGTATCTTATCCAAAATAAAACGTATTATAAATTGTCACAAAATAGCATTAAAATTATTATTTCATTAATTAACCTAAATTAATAAACACAATTTACATTGATGCACAAGAAGTTCAAAACTCATGTACAAGTACATGTACAACACTGCCTTCTTGATCTTCCTAAACTCCTAACAACCACTTCACTCTCCAGGAACAAAGTTTGTAGCATAAGACCAAGCATTGTTGTTAACCGGATCGGCGAGGTGGCTAGCTAGGTTCTCCAACAGATTGACAGACCCTTACGGCCTTACCAGTAACAAAAGCTTGATCAAAGAACCCAAACATAGAAAGAAAACATAACTAACCTACCGTTCTTATATAGTAGCGGGGCATTAAAAATGCTCGCTCTTATATAGTTATATTTCTCTTTAATGCACAATAATTCTAAATATGGCTAGCCGGCACCAGTTTATCCTTTAGAATATACTCCGTATTATTTTCGTAAATAAATAAACAAGTTTATCCAATTATCTTGTGGAGCCCGTATTTAATGAAAAAGTTATTGATTTATTTTTTTTTAAAAAAGTCATGGGATAAACAAATCTAATATATCTATTAACTATTTCTCAAAGAGAGTGAGGGATAGCTCAGTTGGTAAGAGCTTTCTTCTCGGTTCCAGGTGATCCTGGGATCGATTCTCATCCCCGCCCTACTGGCTCATATGAACCAAAAAAAAAAAAAAAAAAAAAACTATTTCTCAAAATATAATATATCTATTTTTTATTACTAAAACAGAGTATGCTGCCATCATCACTATCAACATGTCACTCTATTAATGAATTTTTCCTGCTATGCAAAGATGATGTCATCTTTTTTTTTGTTTTTTTTTTTTTTTGTTTTTTTGGAGCTATCCTATTTAACTTTTTTGAAATTTTAAATATTAGAAGTTTTCTCATTACAATTGCAACCTATCAATTTATCGTAGAAAATTGAAACAATTTTAAATAGCACACTAATAATAGACCTCCTAAAGCTTCTACATTGAAATATGTATCAGGTGACATTGGTGAAAATCATAATTTTGATGAAAATCTAAAAATTTTACAGATATTTTTATATTATAGCTTAATTTTGTTAGTAATTTACAAA